CCACTTCCGGGTCTGCTGGGGAGCACGCTGGGTGCCCCCACCATACCCTCCCGGCTTGGCAACTAGTGCCTCCTGGGTCTGGGGAGGGCCAAATCTGAATTGAATAGGGCCTGCTTCACACACCCCTATTGCATATGTGTATTGATCAAATTGGCTCAAATGAAAATGTATCTAGATAATTTTTGAATTTCTTACCTTTGCCATCCATGTTAGAAGTGAACTGGGCCTTCAAATAGGGAGCCCACTTTTCACCATGTATGAAAGAAAAGATTTCAGCCAAGAAGTTCAAGTGTTGATGATATCTGTGATGATAAAGCAAGCAGCCACATCTGAAGCAAGGTAAGGAGCTTTTAGAGAATGTTTTGCTGTCTACTTCTACTTCCTGCCACTCTCTCTCTTACCTCTCTTACATTTCTCAAGAGAGTGCGATAACTAGGGATTGATCCTGTTCCAGGTTAAAAACTCATATTAAGTCAAGAGAGCTTAATAGTTTTCCACACTCACCTATCAGGAGACAGATGAAAATTACTAAGCAAGAAGCTCCTTATTTCTTCCTCTCCCTCTTTTTTTTTTTTTTTTTGGTATCATATCATTTTCTTATATGCTGTAAAGCCACCCAAAGAAGATGACTCTGTGTACAGAAAAAGTAAATAAAGCCTTAGGAGAGGACCTCATGCAATTGGTCTTCCTACTTAGGAGTGTATGAAGTACAGCACAATCATTCAGGAATCTACAAATTCATAATAGTAAGGCATTGCAGTATGTGGCTGGGGAGTTCAAATATGGCTACAGAGAGAAAGGACCTTAAGACAGAGAAGAATGCTTCTCGCCATTTAGATTTCTGTCACGGACAGCTTAGAACAATAGAGAGAATCGCTGGCACAGAGGATTTGGAAACTAATTTGCTATTTCTCAACTTTCAGGGAGGAAAAAGTGGCATGGAAGAGAGTACAAGTACATTTTGCTCTGTCACCCAACAAAGAACAAGTGGGTAACAGGAATATTTATTTTGAACTGGGCTCTGAGGCTGTTTGGAACTTTGAAGAATGACCTATAACCACGTCTAACTTAAGAACTGCAATTATTATGCAGTTACTATATAACACACCTTCCAGGGTCCAACTCAGTTAATTATTTTAAATTGTGCATTAATACTACTTTTAGTTAAAGATGAATACATGGAATCACTAATATTATTTTTTTTTTTGTATTTTAAACAAAATTATTACCTTAGCTGTATATAACTTTTGCATTCTGAATACTCATTCCATTTAAATAATATATGAAATAGCATACAACTTGGGTGTAAATCAGCAAAATGTTTATCATGTTCTAAACATTGGCTCCCTCATATTAACACTGTTGTTAGACACTGAAAAGATTAACTACACCAGCGAAATATACTCATTAGCCTTAAAATGATCATAACAGACGGATACCATATCTTTAAATTACTTTTCAAAGCTTGGTTTCTATTTTTATAATCAATTTCCTAACTAAACTACATTCATCATTATGAAAACAAATCATGTAAGTCATATACACATTTCTGTCTCCTTATGACAGACATTGATTGAGAAAGGAACAACTAGTTCCAGCCCCCAGTAAACAGCTGGTATCCTTAGATAAGAAAATCTCTGCACATGGCCAAGCTTCCAGTATTGTGAAAAAATGATGCAGTAAGACTACAACAAAAGAACCAACTGCTTAGATGAGACAACATAATTTATAGCCAATATCCATAACATAACTTAATTATCACATTATTTTTGTACTCTTTCATTAAATTGTAATTATTACCTCCTTTGGCATCAACACATTAATTGCTGGTAAAATAAAATACATCACAAGAGTAAAGATCTAACTGTTGGTATGAGAGGATTAAGGGAGAACAGTTAAAGGGTAAACTTATAACATAATTAAAATCTAATACATAGCAACTCCCATTTTGTGATATATTCACATCACTTGGATGTACTGAAATGCGTAAAACAAAGCTTGGCATCCACTAACATGCAAGTGCACATCTCAATAGTTGCCTAAAGTGGCCAGTTGTGATTTGAATATAAATAGTGTAAAAGCAATTCAAATATGTTCTGCTTTTTAAAAATCCTTCTACAGTATTTAACTTTCTCACTTAATAGAGGTATGTCACTCATATGAGAAAAAGAAATACAGATTAGCATGCGGCTGGAAATAAAGTGACTAATCAAAGCCATATTCCAGCAGACTTGGGCTTTTTCACACCACCTTCAAGAACAAAAGGAGAAAAAAAATACTCTGGGAAGACAAACAATGGAGGGACTAGAAGAAAACAAGTTTCTCCTGTCCCCAGAATGCAAAGTATCATCTTGCTGCAGCAACTTATGAACCTTGTGCTATTTACATCTTGTTTTTTTGTTGTAAAATCTAAACTGGAAACTGTTCAACGCACCAAATCTAGGGCTAGACGGAAACAATTTTCCTGAGCAATGGGCAGCACTTAATTCTGTTCCCCACTTGCTCCTGTATGTCAATAATCCATACCAGCAGCAGATTACTCTCCACTCTATTCCAAGTCAAATTTTACAGGAAGGATCAAGTGTCCACAACTTTCATTGCTTTGTTCTGTCCACATGCACTGCTCTAGAGATGCCACTGTCACTGCTCCATGATAATCAATTCTGTAGTTGGCTCGCACACGGGAACAGGAGGTATAAGGTCCCTATTATTCTAATGGATATTCTCATAAAGAAGGTGACTACTTGGCCCTTAATTTGCATGATAAGTGATTTGCAAACGGATATTGGACAACTAACTGCTGCTAAAAGGGCAAGTGGGTGAAGGTAATAAAAGGAAGCATAAAGGATCCAACCAATGAAGGAAAACTCTGAAAAATTAGAAGAAAAATATGTACATTAAAAATGACAGGGAAAGGTATCTTGAAACTTTCTTTTACTCATGGCTCTCATGCATCTTTTTTTTTTTAAAAACAGGAAACATACATTCTGTAACCAGCAAGCACTTTTCACATGTTTAATTTTTATTGTTTTAAGTAACCCAAAGCAATGTTTTTTGTTTTGAGCTACATACCACAAGTAATTAATCACGTCAGCATTTGTTATAGTAGACAATATTAGCCCATAATTCTGAACAAGATTATTAGTTATACCATATTTCCTATACTTCTGCAGGTTGTTTTTATTGATATGTGTTAAATGAGATAGATGTTGCATCCATAATGGATGGTCCCAAGGTAGTCATTTCTATACTACCTCAAAAAATATTTTAGAGTCAGGGTCTGTCAAAGGAGGAACAGATGAATGGTTCTGATTCAATTAGTGTCCTTCTTAAAAAGAGTCTACTATTGATCTCAAGCACTGGGATTGGCCACACAGACTCATTCACATAGAGCAGTAGAAAGTAAAATAAATTAATTATTATGATATACATTTTCCATATGGTAAATCCAAGTAGAATTACAGTGCTAACCAGAGGTATTACATTAGTAATTATACACTGAGATAGTAAAAAATTCCAATATTTTTTCTCAAAAAATGTAAAAGAAAGAGGGAGGAAGCGTTACATTCACAGGGGGATAAAAATTTTCTTACTTGTACAGTAAGAATATCTATTTAAGATGAGTTGTCCATGTACGAATTCTTGTTATGCCATGCATGTACCTCATTAGCCCAAAGGAGATGAGAGGGAGATCTTGCGTCACATATACACTAGGTCTATAGCTGGACTGCATCTTTGCTTACTGGTGAAGATCATCCTGCCTTGCTTGTTCATAGAAAACAATGCAATTAAATTATCTGTCATTAGTTGGATTGACTGACCTTGAGCACCAGTAAGTTAAATTACTGTTTCAGTAGAACTGATGTGCTGCATATACCAATCCTACAGCTCAACTGCTTCATTGAACATTTCAAGAATGAGAGGCCCTTGTCTTTTGAAACAGCATACCATTGTTGTTGTCTACACCAGCCTGATTTACTCCTGCCCCGAAGAAAAGAATTGAGAGCCGGATGAATTTATGGTTTTCAGTTCTGAAATATGCATACAAGCTCCCTTTTCCTAAAGGTTCCAGAGCCCTGAAACTATTAGGGTGCATGTAGACGTGACACCTCTCGTTTCCACGTTACTTTTCCTGTCTCCACATGACAAAAATCACCATTAAGCTAGCTAAATAGCATCTGTGTATCCACGTTATCAGCTGATTTTATTGTTTTAGATCATTTTTTGTGGTACTTTAAAACACCTCTGGCATGTTTTAGTTTACCTTTAGAGGGCCAAAAATGTGCTCTAATGGACAGTGGAAATACCTGATGAGATTGTTATCTATTTAGCTGGAGAACTAAACAATATTCCTCCTAGAGAAGAGTTGCATTTGAAATTCACCATGTCAATGAAAACAGTGCACCTTTTGGGATGGCTAGCATTTGTGTGTGAGTGCGCATGTGTGCAATATGCACACCTAATCTATGTACTTGCTCTGTAATTGAATGTCAACCACATCTGTAAGGATCTGCTTTCTTGATCATCACAAACTGACTCTGTAAAAGAGATTTCTTGTATAGAACATACCTGGGACTTTTATACAACTTTGAGTATTATAAAAGTCTTCAAAGAGGGTGCATATATAATGAATATCTTTCATACAGTATCATTTTGGGTGGTGAATTATCTGTAGAGGAAGAAATAAATGTCTTGGTCTTTTCAAATGAGCCACCACATTGGAAAAACTGCTTCAGGTCAACGGACAAAGAAAAAGAAACATAGATCAAATGGAAGAAACTTTTATAGAAAGTGTCATTAATGCACTGTAAAAATGAGATACCAGGAGGTAGATAGAGAGGTGGATACAAGCATGTTTAAACAAAATGCAGAAAACCAAACCAGGGGGAAAAAGAGGGGCATTTAACTAAAGGTTATTTAAATAAAACAACACTTCCCAATGAAGACACTGAGCTTCCTCACATCTAGAATGGGTCAAAACCATCTGTCTGTCTTTGCATGAAGAAATATCAGAAGCAAGAACCCTGGCCTATTAATTCTTTCAGAACCACCTTTATTGCACTTACCAGTAATGGACTAAAGCTTTGAACTCATATGTTCTCATGAGGAAAGGAAGTATATGGGGCATGGGAAACAGGTGAAGAAATAATCTCAAACTGAATTATTTAACTATCTTCTATTACTTTCAAAACTCAATTTTGTTGTATATTATGAACTTCTAGTGAATGACAAAGCAAGACCTTTCCCAAAGAAGGGATTATCTACATTTTTGTAAACTGATATGAAGCTTCTGATCCTTGTAGCAAAACCAAGGTGTTCCTTAAAGGGTGTTCCAAGCAACTGGAAAAGCTTCAACAAGACTGAAAAAAACTCCTCTCCAGAACACCCTATAGACCTATGGCTTAAACATTCTTTCACCTAGTGCAGTTGGTCTGAAAATACCTCCAAAGAGGAAAAATGTAAGTTTAGTCTCCCTCCACCTGGACAGTGCTCAAACACTAAGCTATTTAAGCAAAGGATTGGGGACCTCCCTCCTCCTCTGCTTCTGTTTAGGATGGAATTGGATCTGGATGGCATGCTCTGAGAAAACCTAAAGGATTGGACCTCATAGGTAAAATACAGATGGGAATTTGTTTTGTAGATTCAGATAAGGCTGTATGAAGCTTTGGTCCCTGATTTGATTCGGTGGAGATTCGGCCCGATTCAACAGCTGAATCTCCAAATCTGAATCAAATCAGGAGACCCTTTAAATCTCTCTGAATCGAATTGGAACCTTCTGAATCAATTTGGAGAGATTTGGAAAGGTTTGGATATAGACACAGCTTTAAATGTTTTTTCTATGCACCTCAGGGTACCAAGCAGCTTGTGAATGCTGCGATGGTGGGGTGGATGGAGTGTCCCAAAGGAGCACATGGGACTCCCAAGCACGTTCAGCACAGACCTGGAAGTGGACCAGAAGCACTTCTGGTCCACTTCCGGATCTGCTGAGCAGCACGTGGGGGGGCCCCTCCTGCACCCTCCCAGCTTGGCCACTGGTGCCTTCTGAGTCTGGGGGGCACCCAGGGTCCCCCCACAGCTGATTGCTGAGCCAGAAGGGGCAAGGGGGCCCCCCAGTATGCTTGACGGTGGACCTGAAAGTACTTCCAACCACCCCAGTTTTGCAGCATTCACAAGCCGTGCCTGGTACCTCAAGGTATGTAGAAAACATTTTAAAGTTGTGTCTATGGCTGAATTACTGATTCTCTGAATCAGCATCGAATCTTCAGATTCAGATTCAGCCAGATTGAATCAGGGACAGTGATCCAAATCATCAAATCACTGTCCCGGATTCAGGCCGAATCTGAATCTGAATCAAATACGGCCCATTTCGTACGCACCTAGATTCAGATACAGTCCGATACTCTAATACCCTGCTGTGAGAAGTTTCCACCATCTGATCTGCAATGAACAGTGCAAACCATGCATAGGAATACGGAAAGAACAATTTAATATAAAAAGTATCAAACTGGCATTTGGTTTATAATAATAATGTTCCATATTAAGGCTGTATGCAAGTTGCTAAAGAGATTGTAGGTATGTGGGCTAAGAATGGTGGAAAAGAGGTGGTAAAAGCTAAGATATAGAATTGATGAGTGGAGGATAGCTAGGGTAACTGAATGACTTCAGTTTTTATTTCCTCACTTTTTATACTTTTTGTTCCAGGGATATGCCATCTCCTTCAAAGTTGATAATGTGCGCGCACACATGCACAACTGTACATTTACCTTTCAAAATTTGCACAATTTCAACTTTAAAGGTCACTGCTGTATGATTAACATACAAAAGTGAAGAAATGAAAATATGGGTCTTAAGTAAATTTTAGCTTACCCATCCAATTCTTTAAGTATTACTACTCTTATTTATCTAATGATTGTGCACAACTTGTAATAAGTACTTTATAAGCACACAACGATAAAGTTCCCACTCTGAAGAACAAAACAAATTATAACATAAATAAGCATTAAAATAAATAACAGAAACAGAAAATAACACACATGCAAGTGACTGAGTTAATATTACTACAGGAACCTTAACTTTTTCATTTCCTGACCAGCAAGTGTCAGATGGGGGTCTATTAAAAAAAAAAAGCTCATGCAAAACTTATGAAGTACTTAAATTTCTCATTTTGCTTTCTGTAATGTAGGCAAGCATTTGCTGCAAATTTGACTGACAATGTCTAACTTTTGACTTATGTGAAATATACACTCACATCTTTCTATAATTTTTTCCCCTTTTTTTTATTAAAAAAATTGAGAGAGGAATTGCATCCTGAGAGAAACCATCACGCTTGATAGTTCATAAAATGTATGCCGCTACAAATGGAAATCACTGATGTTGGTGTGCATCAGTGGCAGGATAAGGTGGTGGTACACAAGATTCCAACTTGTAAAGTGCTATTTACAAGGCATGTCTACATGTGACGCTACATCATTGTAGCAACATGCTACAGTGATGTAGCATCCACAGGCATCTATATCACCATAGCAACGTGGTCCCCCAGTATAGCACACTGCTACAGAAAATTAGCTACTAAAAATAAACGTACACCACACATACAGCACAGCACGGGCTGTTACTGTGCCGTGATTTAGGACTTCCAAAGACTCCTGTTACTAAAGAGGGGAAAAACACAGTGGGTTAATCTGTTAGGCTGACAGGCAGCTGAGGCAAGGGTGGCACACAGCAGACCTAAGCTGCAATGGGGAAGCTGCCTATTAGACGTAAAAAAGGAACATTTGTGCAGGCTGGTGAGTCAACTGACTCAGATAGATAAGAGCCCCAGGGGATGACGGCCATTCTAATGTTTGTATAACCAGAATGGAAGAGGTTTTTTATTGAAGTGCTCACTTGCCTTTATTTTTATTTATTTTTTTGTTTAAACTGGAAGACTGGAAATGGCTATAAGGTGGTGAAGAAGAGGCAAAAGGGCACACCGAGATTTAGAACCCTGCCAGGGCCAGAGAGTAAGACATAGGCAGCTTGAGGCTGAGAGAGCCAAAGCCTGAGCGAGGAGATAGAGGTGGCCTGAATCTGGAAGGGCCTGTATTGGAGTCCAAGAGGGATGAAGACGGGGGCAAAGGCGGCCCAGAGCCTGAGAAAGGTGAAACCAAGGTCAGAGGGAACCCAGAGTCTGGGAGGGGCAGGAATAGGACCTGGGGCCCAGACCCTGAGAAGGGGTAAAAGTGAAGCTGTAACCCAGAAGCTAAGGTCCAGTACAGCAGGCCTAGGCTAAGAGGGCCAAGCCAGAGAAAAAGGGGGCCAAAGCTGGGGAGGCCAAAGTTCCTACAAAGGTTTGAAGCCTGAGAAAGGCAACTGTTGCAGTGGAGACAAATGACCTCTCTGACAAGGTACTGTGTACCATCTGTAAGGCCTGGGCATGACTATAGGGGCAGATGGAGGCCATGAATACAGCCCTTATGGCCCCAGTACTCCAGGGTACCAATAGGACTAGAAAGGCCACTACAGATTGAACAAAAGCAGATGGAAAGTAGACTGTACTCCCTCTGGGTCTCAAGGCAACCTCCCAACCTTTGTTTAGATCAACATCAGGTTGGGGCAGACAAGCAGTAGGGAAGGGCACCCCAAGGGATCGGAGGAGGCAGGGGTCATGCTTCTACTAGAATGGTGCCACAGCACCACCAGACATGGAGGTCCTGTCACACTGGCAAGGAGCATCTCCAGAGGATATTACCTAATACAGGTTGAGCTAATATCCAACTGCTCCACAGAGGTAAAATGATCAGCAGACTTGCATGCAGTGCTGAGGCCAGGACTGACAAACAGCCCCAACTTTCTGACCACACCATAGTCTTGAATGGAGTTTGCTACTGTGGGAGGGCTGGGACTGACAAAACAGGTATTTGTTGGTCCCAGCCCCCGAAGCTCACCAGAACACATAGAAGTCTTCAAGGGTTTGGTCCTTAGGATGTGTTTTATTTAGACCCTAATAAGCATGGCTATGCAACTGCTCAGACAACTCTCACTCACAATGGCACTTACTAGGGTCTAAATAAAATACATCCTAAGTGTAATATGTGGCAGGGCCCTTAGAGAGTAACTGGAGGGACACTGGAGATATTCAGGTAATATGATAAGAATTCACAGTTCCTCTTGAGATCCTGGTTAGTACAAACCAGCCTGTGCATGGTTTTTTGTTCCATAAATTCATAGAAAAATGTTAACCATTATCTCAACAGGGAATGGTGGAGTCTTACCCTCAATACTTATGAATCCTAGCTTAAAACTGTAACAGGAAGACAAATTTGACACAAAGACATACTGGGCCTTTGTGCAATCTGAAAAAAGCACAGTTCACTGGTGAAACAGTAGGCTACTCAATATGGTTCTATATATATGTTTCTTTCAGCAATCCAGATTTTTGTAGCATCCCCACCTGATAGTATTGAAGAAGATTAACGTAGCAAAGTCTATTTTTTGAAATTCTGGATTTGTAAAAGGAAGGATTTATCAATTTCACTATTAATTCTGATGCTGACAAACAATGCACAGGAGCCCTAACACAGGAGAATATCACTGCTGGAGTAGAGACACATCAAGATGAGTGTCAACAAGCTGAGGAACAACAGAGCAATGACAAGAATACACCTCATCTGGCTTGAATAGATGCATTCAGTATATGCAAAGAATTGCAGATACATTTTGCATAATGTAAGTCCTGGAGGAAACAGGTAACTATTTGGATTGGTTACAATCACTTATTAGGAAAGCGCAGCTTTCATGTATGAACAGTCAACCTTGAAATAATTTTAAGAGGTAATATTGTTCTAATATTGTTGCCAATTTTTTGTTGTCGTTGTTGTTGCTGACTGCTCTTTTAAAAAAAAAAAGTTTCTTTAATAAATGCTTGAAGTAAAAATAATTTCTTTTAAGTAAAGGTATAAAAGGTTAAACTTCCAAAAATAATAAACTTTTGTAAGAATTAAATATGAACAATATTTAGCAAAC